ACTATCACCGCGCCAATCGCGGTGGATGGAGTACTTCGAACGGTTCACGTATGAAATAACGTACGTGCAAGGGTCAAAGAACAAGGTGGCTGATTGCTTGTCGAGGTACTATGAGACTGACCTCGAGGGCGAGGCACACACGTACGATGAATACGTAACTGCGGACATACGTCTAGACCCAGAAGGGGAGGACCTCCCAATCGATCGATGAAAGGAGGCCAGACGCATGGTAGAGTCGGGGTTGGAAAGACTCAAAGTGAGACACGTGAAAGCTGCAGAAGTAGAAGAGGATAGAACTAAGGAGGCCCGGGAAATGTGGGAAAACAGGGAAGACCCATGACCCATGCAACCCGAGGAGGCCGCCACTCCGCTCCCCGAGCGGATACAGCGTAACAAGGACTTCTTCACAAAGGTGAAGGAAGGGTACGAAGATGATGTGGTGTTCGCCAAAGTAATGGAGGGGGTAGAGCGCCACCCACAGTTCTATAAACTGAACGAGTTCTTGATGACCAGGAACCGAGCCAATCAAGGGGTGATCTGCATCCCTAGAGTGGCCATGGGACGAGTCACACTTCCACAAATCATTGTGGAAAACGCTCACGAGACGTTAGGGCACTTTGGCCACCGTAAGACCATCGATTATATACGTCGATGGTACTGGTGGCCGTCGCTGAACAAAGATGTGGTGACGTACTGTCGGAGCTGTGGAATATGCCAGACCACAAAGGATGATACACGGTGGCCACTCGGATTGCTGCATGTGCTGCCCGTACCCACATTCCCGTGGGCGTCGATAGCCATGGATTTCATTGGCCCGTTCCCGCGCACAGCCGATGGCTTTGACTACCTATGGGTAGTGGTGTGCAGATTATCCGCGCAAGTACACCTTACCCCCACAGTGACTACAGTCACTGCGTCGGAGCTGGCATGGATGTACGTTAGAGACATTGTTCGGCTGCATGGGGTAGCTGAATCGATAGTGTCGGACCGAGACTCGAAGTTCACCTCCGCGTTCTGGCAGGAGGTACACCGGCTCTTGGGGACACGACTACTTATGTCCACCGCCTTCCATCCACAAACAGATGGACTCACGGAGCGGATTAACCGGTCGATTGGACAGGTACTGAGAGCCGTCATACAACCAGACCAAAAGGACTGGAAGGAGAAGCTCCCGATGGTGGAGTTCGCGCTAAACTCGGCGGCGAGTAGCACCACTGGTCTTGCGCCATTCGAGGTAGCCCAAGGCTACCTACCGAGAATGGTGCCTACACTACTGGACGGTGAACTTCCGGGGGTAAAGCAATTCGCGCAGACTGCCCTGGACAACCTGGAACAGGCTCACGATGCAATTATCGAGAGCCGAGTGTTCCAGACTCACCAGGCGAATAAACGGCGAGGAGACGAGAATATAGTGAGAGGAGTGGTGTCACCCATAAAGGAGGGTGACAAGGTTTATTTGTCTACGGCCAACTTACGCCTCCCCAAAGGGAGGTCGAAGAAGTTATTACCTAGATATATAGGGCCTTATACGGTGGTGAAGGCGCGGCCAAGAACGTCCAATTATGAATTGGACATACCGGACGATCTGAGGAAACGACGAATCCACCCGGTATTCCACATCAGCCGCCTGCGTAGATACGAGCCCAATGATGAGCTGACCTTCCCGCATCGAGAGGCCCACGTCTATTACGACTTGGGGAGTCCAGCGGACTTGGAATGGACCGTAGACAGGATAATAGGACATCGCAGGAAGGGGAAGGCGTTGCAGTTCCGAGTACGATGGAACTTGGGAGACGAGACGTGGGAGCCACTCGAGGGAGTGGACCAATTGAAGGCATTGGACGAATACCTTGAACTACAAGGTGTGAGTGAGGTGGAAGGGCTCCGATAAGATAAAAGAGCGCAAGTACGTAGATTAGATTAGATTAGCATAATAAAAAAGATCAGTGGCGCTGAAAACGCGCCAAGTTACGGGACGCCATAGGGCGTCTGGGGACTGATGGAATCAGAAAAGTGGCGCCGCCATCAATGGCGGCGAACTCTTTTTTAACTCTCTTTCACTCTTTTCTCAACCATACCGCGGGTGCAGAACTGCACCCTTCACTACCCCACTTCACCGTCACTCAACCAAAAGCGAGTAGCATGGCCACGAACAAAGGCAAAGACCGGGAGGTTAGACAACCTCCTACAAGACCGCCTAGGAGCCGTAGCCGTAGGCGAGCAACCTCGGAGGACGAAGACACCGAGATGGAGGAGGCAAGGTCGCGAAGTCGCGACCGACGAAGTAGGAGCAGGTCCCGTCGACGGGACAGGATAGGAGAGGGCCGTCATAAAAGACGGCCACGATCACACTCCTGGGCGTTCGCGCGCCAGATCGGCGTGCTGACGCACAGTGAAGGGTGCCCCAAATGCTCAGCATGGATCGCCCACAGGGCGACGGCACACCAAGGAGAGAGCTTCCGGGATGCGCAGATCGAGGAAGAAAATTTCTGGGTGGACTGGGTGCACTCTTGGGATGGCCATGGGCAGGGCCAGCGGTCATCGCCTTCGCAACGAAGGACAAGATCTCTATCGCCCCCTAGGAAGAGGGCGCGTCAACATTCCTCTCCCATAGAGGATCCCACCCCCACGCAGGCGACGGAAACCTTGACCAGAAACGACGAGCGTGAGCAGCGCATCACGTACCTCGAAGACGTCGCCGAACTGCTAAGGCGGCAGCTAGAACGTGTTGGGGTTATAACCACGAACACGTGGTCAACAAGGGCTTGCGAGGCGAGCCTGGAAGAGTTGTGCGAAAGCCGGAGTAACTACGAATACAAACCGGACAAGGTGACGAGGGAGGAACGTGAGTACTGGGAGGACAGTGAGGACGAACACGAGGACCCAGAGCGACGTAAGGCAAGGCGACGCAAGGAGTGCCTGAAAAAGGGTATGTGGAGAACGAGGACCACAACGTCAAGCTCGAGGTCCATGAACTCGAAGGAACGGGGGGCGGTTAACACGAAACGGCGACCGGCTCCTCCATTGGAGGAAAGGCTCGAGCAATATCACCCGCAGCCTGGACCATACCACCGTGACCAAGGTGGTGCGTCAAGCACCACTGCAACATACCAGTGGCCCCTACAACCACAAGGAGCCCCTTCGAGAACCTCGTTAGGAGGTAGGCTGTCGCAACCACTGATCGCACGTACGCTACAAGTAGCTGTCGATCCCCAGACAGTGAGTATGGCGCGGGTAATCAACCCATCCAAGCCACCTCGAGAGACCTCATACCAACTCTCGACGGGCATGTTCGACGCCAATTCAATTGGCCCTCACGTTGTCCATCTCCACTACCTCGAGGAACGCGACAGCGAGCGACGCATTGTCCCGCTGACGACGCAGCACCAGGGAAAATTCCGTATTGTATACGGGGTGGTGCTGGACTTGGGAAGACCATTTCCGTCTCTCCCACCCAACTGCTATATGCGTAACCCCATAACGGGGTACTACTGGTCCCAGACGGAACTCGAAGCGTATCCACGCGGGTTCCCGGGTCTTCCTGCAGAGTGCCCTCCAACTGGCGAGGTAGGGCAAGGGGGGAGGAGGATAATACCATACAATCATATGGTAATGTCCACCATGGATAACTCGCAGGAAATGATGCGAGTGTTCGAGAACCCAGTAGGGGTAGGTGGATCGAGATGGAGAGCTCCAACCACGGCGGAGGAGGTGCGGATGCTACGAGACATTGCAGCGAAACCAGCAAACACCCTCGCATTAGCGCACTACGGCAAACTAGTCGATGAGGCAGGGCGAGTGGGGGCCGCCAACAGGAGTGTTGGCCAACAGGCGTTGGTGGCAAATCGTGGAGACAGGCCACTATGGGCGGAGTACAAACCTCCCAAGAGCAAAGGACAGAAGTCTAGAGCACGACAGAAAAGGGCGTTAAACGCACCACTCAACCCATCTACACCAGTAATTGGTGGAGATGGGGTAGGGGAACCCACGGCAGAAGTACCTCCCGCAATGGAGGTAGGAGAAACATCACTGCAACCTCCAACTGCGATAGTCAAAGAGGACCTCGAAATGGGCGAGGTCACAGAAGGCGAGAGCAGGGGAATAACCGCTGAGGATAGCCCTCTGACCGAGGACGAACTCATCGACTTCGAGGTTGAGTAAAGACGGCCACTACCAGGGGCCATGGCGACAATACCCTCAACAGGTATCGCCTACGTTCACGCACGACTCGTCAACCGACCGTGCACTCCGGCTAGGGGGGAATGTGTGAGGGTTTGCGCGACAAGCGCCGGCACGCCTATGTATAGTAGCGGGAGGCGGGGCGCCTGTAGCCGACACTTGCCTAATCGGGGTACTGTATAGTTCTTGGGCCGCTCACTTAAGAGCGGCCTCGCGCGTAGATAGAGAAGCATCATTATTCTTTTGTATTGTACACACGTCGAGTCCGAATATAATTCGGTCACACTCACTTGTGCGCGCGAGAGGCTAACGATATCTTACAGATGGAGAATGAGATCTAAGAGCTATTAGACGCCCTACAAGATGTTCCTTTTTGTGTGTCAGACCACAACTACACAGTACCTCTACAAGTAAGTACTCTTTCAATACAATAACATTACAATTGATAGCCACATGCAAAGAATATACATCTCAGAGCGGCATGGGTTCAAGTTGGACACCACTAAACAAATAGACTCTCAGTAACATAGTGTAACCCTGGCACAGGGTTAGCACAGGCGCCCGAGCGTGCATGTACATATGTGCTCCGCAATGGCTGAGAATGTAACTTCTCAGTTATTCCGCCTTTTGGGGTAACGGTTTCAGTGTGCGGAGTCTGAACAAGTTTACACATAGGCTATACCGGTGTTTACATCAATGAAAACAACTAGCACACCACTGTCTACTAGCATTGTTGCACAATTTCTGGACATCCAACTACATACAATAACCACTAGATTGTCAAACGATCGAAAAAGAATTAAAAAAAAAAAAAAAGAACTAGCCCACCGCGAGGGTCGAACTCACAGCCTTCAGATCACGTGACAGCACGTGACGTACACCCGCGCTCATAAGAGTCTGACGCTCTATCCGATTGAGCTAGGCGGGCGATATTTGTTATTATATTTAATACTATATAATAGAATTAAACACTCTCGCGAATTCACAACTACTACTTACTACGTTTTGTGCACAGTTAGTCTCGCAAGAATGAGAAATATGCTAATTTAGATCGCGGTAAATACTATTATCCTGCCTGCTATAATTTTCCCTGATCGTTGGCTACGCTCTTCTGGTGCTCGTTGCGTTCCGCTAGTAAATCCTGTCCCCACTGCTGAACTTCAGGGTGCCGAATATTGGGGATACTACTCTCAAAGAATGGCTGGAGCGCTTCCATCCCGTGATTCTTCTCGTATTCGAATGCTATGCGTCCCATGGACATTCAGTGTTATCCTCTTTGAAACGTCAAGATATGCATCTACCTTGAGACGCCATTTCAAACCTGTCAAGGTCTGGGATCGAAGAGATGTAGTTAAATGTTGGCGAGTCAAGATCTTGGTACCAACCTTTCACGAATTTCGCTTCAGGGGTTTGGCCGACTTCATACTCTTGCCATAGGTTGTATATGCGCTGGGCGACAGGACTGTCGTGCAACATCTCATGCACAATGTTATGCATGGCCTCCTATCTCTGCTGTGAGAGTTGTTCTGTTATCATGCGACAATTAAGTTCCTACCAACCGTTTCTAATCTTTGTTTTTCAGCTTTCGGAATCCCTTCGCGAGGGGTGATATCCCCAACTACGATGTATATTTCATTGTTGTCCATTTATAAGGAATGTAAATATCTTGACGCACCCTGTGCTTCCGCTACAGCGACGGGGATTCAGGGTTATTATGCACATTCTATACCCCGCAGTGCATACGTACCAAGGTCGTGTACAAGACACATCATCACGCATCTGCAAACACATACCTTCAGATACGAGCAACTGCTCAGGAACGAAAGAACCCACTTGGAAATATCTAAATGACTATCGGACGTGCACATAGCGAGAATAGCCATGCGGTACATATGATCTGAGATACTGAACACCACAGTCAGCAGATGAAAACCATCTTATTCTGGGTAACCGACCTTTCTGGACCAGGAACCTAGTACCAGCAAACACGAAATTATACCGTACCACGACCGCAATGAATAAAAGTCGGACGAACATTATGGTCCACCCATCCGGTTCGTTTCTGCGTCTACAAAACATTCTCTCAATGAACTACCTAAAAACGGCTGTTTGCAGTGTTACCTTCAATCTTTCTAGAATGTGCACGAAAGCCAGTCTATCTGCTGCCTCACTGCCCTGACTGGTGTAGCGAGGAGGGAATGTCCGCTTCGACGTGGAACTTGTTGACTGCATTTTGAAGAACCGAATTCTTGAGTGGCTAGTTTGAGTTGGTAGAACCCTGAAAAAACGATTTAGCATTGATCAAAGGTGTGTGACTTGCGCGTGGAAGGAGAAAAGCAATAAGTTCGATAAGTTCAAGCTCTCAAATATGGTTGAATCGGCGAAGGATCTCAGGTTCGGGCAACTCCCGAATCTCGTGGCCTGAAATGGAAAGGCAGCCTTTGTGGCGCTGAGTTGAGCGCTTGTGATATGACAAACCCCAGGCTCTTCTTTATAGGTACTGTACCACTGCTGGTCTTACGACTCGTTCCTCAACTTCCACTACGACGGCTGACCACTCTTTGAGCAGTACTAGGAGACTAGTCAAACTAATCGCAGAGCCTTAATGCAAGAGGATCAAGGTATGCATCATGACGCGCAGCTTTGGGCTTGTGGCTCATGCCTTGTTTCGGTGGTTTTCAGACACATGTCGCATTTGCAGTGGCCCAGCTGAGCCTGATCAACCGCTATTCTATCCATGCAAATGCTCTGGAACTATCAGATATATACACCAAGAATGGTGAGCGCGTTCCCACCTTTAATAGAGCCAGGGGTTAACACATCCATGCACAGTTTGACAACATGGCTCGCGCATAGCAAGAAGAAGACGTGCGATGTCTGCAAGCATCCGTATTCGTTCCAGAAGGGTAAGCCAATATACCAACTTTCCCTGCTATATGTTTCTCACACCGGCTGTAGTGTATGCACAGGACATGCCTCCGAGACTGCCACTGTTCCTGCTGGTCAAACGCTTCGCGCAACAAAGCTTTGTCGCCATTTTGTTTGGCATCCGTATCGTAATAGTAGGGTTGATTTGGTGTGCAGTGCTTCCGTGGGCAACTATTTGGACTTGGCGGATGTACTTTGCTATGGGGGACTCAACGTGCGTCATAGTAATTACCACCAACCTCTACTCTTACATTGACGTCCGTAAACAGAGCTTGGTGGATTAGTAACCGCGAACGTCCTAGGGTTGATACACCCGCCGACACTCTGACTACATACGAACAACAGAACGACACAAGTCCTGACGCCACTCCTTTTGAAACTTTCCTCACACACCCGAGTATCCGTACGATATCCGCTGACATTGTGGCCGGCCAAATCATTGCTACAATAATCGTCGTCGCTTTCGTGGCCATATTTTTGCTAAGAGAATGGATAACACAGAATGCGCGACCCGGGGTATTCGACGAGGCAGACGCCCCTCCCGAAGCTGCCATTCAAGTTGTCGCAGAACCTGTCATCCCCCTAGCGCCGGCGCCGGCACCGCTACCCCCACCTGCCCAGGACACACAACAAAGACTTCCCATACATGAATTCCCACAACCCCAGCTACCAGTCGTCCCTGCAGACGCTATGAGAGACGCCTTTCCGAACCCGAACGAGTTCCGCTTTGCAAGGAGAGCGTGGCCTCGCGCCGACTCCGATACTGAAGAGGAGAAGAATGTGGATCTCGATTACGAAGATAAGGGAAAACGGCCGTTGCGTCCATCGACGTCAAATTCGGATATAGGCACCTCTTCAGGCGTGAAACGGAGGCATTCCTGGAGCTACGAGTGGACTCCGGATTCCAACCGAGCCACTCCTCCTGTCCTAAATTCTGAGCAGAACGAACTTACAGTCAATCTCGAGGAGCATACTTCCGTCACAGATGTGAAGACCGAAACCGTACCTGTCGATTGGAAGATGGATTTTTCAAGCTGGAATCCACTTAGTGGTTCTTCCCAGGCTCAGAATACCGCTGACATAAAGAAAGAAGAAGAGGTACCTCTACCTCCAACTCCTGGGAAGCCGCACGGTCGACCGCCTCTGTTCTCAACAGCGTTATTCGCTCCTGCCGAGTCCGGCTCACAGCCTCAGATTTTCCCCCAAACTAGTCATGGAAATACTCCCCTAGCCTCTCCTAGCCTGGCTACGTATCGTGCGCCTGAAGAGTTCGAAGCTGGACCGTCTAATATCGGGTATTTCCCGGATGATCGAGCGGAGGTTCTGTTTAAGGACGAGGATGCACAGACAAACGAACTCGATGAAGAGGAGTGGGAAACATACTTCCGTGAGCCTAGCTCCGAAGAAAGAGCCCAGATCATAAGGGAGGAGGAAGCCCTTGCGCCCCAAGATATAGAGCAGGGGGAAGAAGAAGAAGATAGAGCACTCGATGCCGATCCCGATGCCGAGATGCCCGCGTTGCAGCATTGGACAGATGACGAAGACTTCGAGGAAGATGAGGATGAGGATGGAGCGGACGTCGTTGTCGAGCTTGAAGCACCAGCCCCCGAGCCTCTTGTCGAAGACGAGGAGCTAGGCCAAGTGCAAGAGGACGCTGTAGCAGCGGCAAATGGTGGAGATGTGGATGATGTAGATCTGAACATGGAGTTTGAAGGAGGCATGGAAGATGACATGGAAGGTGCGCTAGAAGGTAAGGTCTTTATGATCAGAGGGGGCATACTTATGTATATTTTGCAGACATTCTGGCTGCAATTGGCCTTCGCGGACCGATATATGGAGTTCTACAAAATGTGAGACCATTAAAAAATTGCACTTCCCTTTCTGACACATGTTATAGGCTGCTCTGATGATATTTGTGTTGGATACTACGATCGGAATCGGCGTTTGGCTTCCTTTCACCATCGGAAAATCACTCGCCTTGCTTTCGGTAGGTGAAATTTCCAACCACCACGACACACACTCACCATGATCTGCAGTTAGAACCTCGGCGGCTCCTACACCTCATTGACTTTCCAATCCGCGCGATTAGAATCATCACAGACCCGGTCGTCGACACGTTCATGCTTTTTTTGAGCCAAGCTATCTATCCTCCTTTCAAGCATGTTGCCCTTTTACTCCTTCGACCTGTTTCCCGATTTATTGTCAGGGTAATCGGCGAGAAGTTAACCCAAGACATCGTGTCTAATGCAATATCACTGGTGAGAGACGTACCGCCGAGCATATCGACTCATACTAATATTTGTCGTAGTATGAGCACGCGTTGGGACAGTTCACTTCTTCAGCCATAGAAGTAGCTCCCTCTGCGACGTTCCTGGAGAAACTCGCTGCCTATGATTCACCAGTTATGCAATATGCTGAACCATACTTTGCCCCATTGGGAGAGAACCTCCGCACACTCTGGCAAGAAGTTCAAGAACATTGGATTAAGTTAGCATTGGGTAATGGCACCTCTGAGAAGATCTTCGCTATTTCATTAGGCTATGTTGTTGACGCGCTCCTCCTGGCTATCTACCTCAATGTGTTGACGATCGGCAGCATGAAGAGCGCCGGACGTGCCGTTCGAAGCGCTATCAGACAACAGCTCTTAGTGGTCAAGGTCAGTATATTCCCTGATTCTGTTATGACGTCTAGATATTAACCACTGTCTTGTAGGTCGCTGCGTTTATTCTCGTCGAACTAGTCGTCTTTCCTCTCGGATGTGGAATCATGCTTGACGTTTGTACGGTTTCCCTTTTCCCTCAAGGCAGCTTCAACACGCGTTCCGACTTCCTCTTGTATGCTCCTCTAACCTCTGCATTCTACCATTGGGTAATCGGTACTATGTTCATGTAAGCTATTTCCCGAGCTGGCTAAGTTACCGAAAGCTCACATTTCTTGCAGGTATCAGTTCGCTGTACTGTTGGCCAGCTTCAGGACCTGTCTGCGTAGCGGAGCGCTATG